AGCTAAAAAATTGAATTAAAATCTATCGAAATCAACAATTAATTTTTACAACAAATTTTATAGGACTTACAACTTTTCAACCACATTTCATCGACTTTTATCAAAATTTATCAGAAATCTAATTTTCATCTAAACCAAACAGGGACTAAATAATATGGGTCAATGAAGCTAGGTTGGAGCATTTAGGTAGGGAAAAAAATAAAAAAAATAGTTCATATTACAGCAGAGCACCATTGAGAACCATTGGTAACGTGTTTAACATATTTGACAAGAGTTAAATCACAAAATATGTAACTTCGAGAAAAATACTTTATCCAGAAATGTTTTGAAACAAATCCAAAAATCTTACTTTTTAAGCTCAGCCAAACAAGCTATATCTACTACACTGGTCACAGTGTAGCTTGATGCATGGTTAAGAATTGTTTCAAAATGCCATTTTCATCACGTAAAACCTCGTATCAGAGATTCTACTGTTAATACTGTAGTAAAATATATTACTAAATGTACCTTGTCGACAGTATCTCTTCTCGTCTCCTTTGCCTTTCTTCCTCTGTGACTCCCAACAGGTATCTCAACAAACTGAAGAGAATGGTGCAATCATTAGTCATGCACTGAGAAGAAAACTGAAGAGAAACAAAGTCCCTGTTTGTCTCCCATTCTTTCAAAACTCTTTTTTCTACACTCATTTTCAATCATACATTCATACAATAAAATATTCTACACGTAAAACCAAAACTTTTCCCCACTTTTTAACCAAACATTCTCCAAAAATTCACCATTCAAAATAATATTTTTCCAAAAAAAAAAAAAAAATTGCGACCAAACAGGAGCTAAAGATACATGACAATATATAGGGCGTGTTCGGTAGAGATTAAAATCGGATTAAAATTGAAAAACTAGCCGTTATGGTTGACTTTTATTAGACGGGTGAGACCCAATAACGGCTATATTTTCAATTTTAATTGGATTTTAATTTTTACCAAACGAGCACATAATGTCAAACTAGACTGCAGATGAAACCACAGTAAAATTCTCTATGAAGAAGAAAAATAACTCTCTGAGTGTTTCTCCTATAATAAGCAATACTTCCATTAAAGACGTCCCCGTTGTTAAGTGAATGGATGAGTATCCTTTGGCATCGGGTAGTTGATATGCATCAACATCTCCAATGGTCCCAATGATAGCCTTGGTGAGAGCATCATCGTCCATTTCAAGTTCCCTTAGAAAATCACTCGTTGCATCATACACATCGAGTGTCTTCAACAAATTGGGGTCTCTATAAGACAAGTATGAGAACACGCCTGAACAGAAATATCAGAAATCAGGACTATTGGAGTTAGTTACTGACCAAGTCTACAGAACTGAATATAAGGCTGATGACTGTACCTGAATGAGTGTCAAAATCACAAAATCCCCCATAAGCCCCACCACTGACTCGTACGCGATCCCACAACCACGTATTACTAATGTACTTAGAGATCACATATGCACTACCCTTAAGTTGATACCCGGTCTGGAAAAGGTTAGCTGCTTTTCCAACATAATTTACCTGTATGTACAAATTGCTCAAGTCTATTAATGAAATTGACCAAGAAAGGAATGCACCGAAGTGAAAACTGAGGAAAAAAAAATGTTGCCAACCTGAGTAGGTACCACAATAGCTTCATTTGTTGGGGGAAGTCGAGCACTCCAAGCAGCTGATCCAACTGGGGAACTGTTCGGAAGCATATCGAGAAATTTGCTAACATGCTTCTCTGAGTTCACAAGATTTTTTCCATCAGCGGTCAGATTTATTAGGCAACCATTTTTTGAAATTAAAGTTTTGCGTATCTCCTCGAGGGAAGAAGATATTTCAGGCCAGTTTTTATCAACTCTCTCTTCAAGGTCTCGTAGAAATTCCAGGTAACTGCACGCAACCATAGTAACAATCGTTAGGGCCATGCAACTTTTGAAATATTGAGGTATGGATAAAATGGTGAAAAACGTTTTATTTCAAGGCTCCAAAATGCAATTGTCACGGCAGACATCAAAAGGATGAACCACCCAAACCCCAACTCCACCCCTTCAATAATTAAAAATCGTGATAGAAGTTTCTAGAATTTAATTATCAGACCTGAAAAAAGTTAGTTATGCAACCAGCCATGAAAACTTCTCATATTTTGTAAGGTAAATAATGTTTTCCTACTACCAAATAGATATTTCGAAGGTAAGAGATTTCAACCAAAAGGGCTGGTTTATTCGACACTAAAAAGGTCGTTGACCCACTAAAAAACAAACAGTTCAACCTGACACCACCCATTTTTTCAGAGACCCAACCGGCAACATTGAGCTTTGCATCCATCCTTGCAGCTGCAATGCCATGTCCACTGCCTCTTAGTCGGTTCTGAAATCGAACAATCATAATATCACAAATTTATACTGCACAGGTGAATAATTGCAAAGCAACTGCTTTCTTTCCGCAATAGCACAACTGGTACCTCCATTCTTGCTCTGCTTTGAGAAACAAACTGCTTAAAACGCTTTTGGTCTGTTAGTTGAACATCTTGAAGAACTTTGCTGACCTACAGTCGACCATTTTGTATATCTCATCAGTCAATATATTCTTCAACAGTTTGCCAGAAACTTGAATAAGAACAAGAAGAACATTACTTAATTATCAAAGCTTGCTTTCGCTTCAAACTACAAGAATTAGTTTTTATTAATAAAAGAAACCAAGCCAGGCATTCAAGTCAGAACAAGCAAGAGACAAGGTAATAGATCTAGACATATGGACGACTCAAAATCCGTTTTTTACATATATTAAACGCAAGATACTCGCGTGATGAAGATTGAATGGCCTCAGTTATATGACTATTTCTTGAAAATACTTAAAAACTTGCATTGGAGGACACGCACATGCAATGTTACAATAACGAAAAAAATCAGTAAGCACAGGAATATTTCAGCAAATTAATACGAGCACGTTCATAATGTATAGCAAAATGATTTACCCGAGGTGAAATCAGATAACTAAATCCAGTTACATTTAAAAATCAGTAAGATGATAATATTTCCTCAACAATAACCAAGTAACAATCAACAGACAACAAGCACACATGAACGAATAAGAACAAAAGTGCAGTAAGATGTTTGACATCAGTGTCGTGTTTCATTTTTTATAGTTACGGTATAGCATATGATACAAATCAATATCTACAAAGAGAAAATCATCCATCAAGAAATCTATAGGATTGAGGAGACTGTTGGATATATTAATTAACAAGGATGTAAAAGGAAGAATATAACGGATAGTAGCAGATCAATTTTGGAAGTAACCAGAAATAGCCAAATGGTCATGCTAGAATGAAGTTTGCACTAGTCCGATATTGGTGCAAATTTTATTAGTATCAGCACACAAAAAGAAAATAATATTAGCAAAATCTAAGAAACAGACAAGTGGAATATCATCAAAAAAATTGGATAATCTCCAACATCACAACAAACTGAAGATTTTCTGTTCTTGCCGATTTACTGTTGTGGTGCATGAGAAAACAGTAATTTACCAGGGTAAACAAATCTTCAGCGCGTTCAGACATAGCTTTTCCTCGAACAATGATATGGCTAGATGGCTCCTCCTTCCCCCGAATAGACGATGTGAAAGGATACACTGATATCCCACCAGTTTTTCTTGGTACACATTAAAAGTTTCATTCACATTCTTCTATTCATTTTCAACCACACATTCTTCAATAAAATAATATTTTCCATCACATCAATAACTTTTCCTTCTTTTTCAACCACAAATTCTCCATCAATCTACCATTCCAAAATACATTCTTTCAAAATAACGTGGCTCAAACACACCCTAAATTTAATACTCGATAAGCAGAGAATTGTAGAATTGTCATGAAACTATTAATGCCATCCTTAACCAAGTAATGTTTCCTTGGGAGTATTAGCCTATAATAGACCTAGTAAGGTTAAAAGAGGATTTTCAGGGGCATTTGATTCAGGAAGCTCATTAGCTCAATGTTATTTTAATACATCAAAAAAATGTAGTACTGTTGCTATCTCACCAGAATAGTGGTAATAAAGGAAGAAGCTCTTGTTTCAAAGAACTCATGTTGAAAACGACTTCAGCATAAAGAACGTCATTTGTGAATAGGTCATGCTGCAAGACCTTTACCCCATTGATATTCCCAACCTACAATTCCACGCTCAATGAATTTCAACTCAGACAGATATATGTAACACTCTCACAGCAATACTTAGATGAATCTCATCACCTCAGTAGGAACGTGTATGGGTTTTTTGGGAATATCTTGCAAAGAAAGACTTGGCACACATTTAAGAGCTTCGGGTGGATCAGGAGTCTCCTGTTTCAACTTAAGCTCATGTGTTGCACGTGCCAGTTCAGCAAGGTCCTCTTGGGTCATGGCTACCTTAATCTTATCCAAAATTTCTTTCTCAGTAGCTTCATCACGAGAAGCCTTCTCTGGATCGGGCTGTCAATATAACACCATCAGTATAAGAAATAGTCATGTGATACTGCATCTAAACATCAAGAGGTGACACTTAAGAAGATAACCTGCATTTCAATAGTTACACGGTGAGGATTATTCAAGATGAATTTTTCTATTAGAGGGGCAAAGACAGCTTTGGACCCTTCCTTGGCTATTCTAGCTTTTAAGTCCTTCAACGGTTTCTGATATTTCAATGGTTCGAATGGGTCCTTATCATATATCCATTTCCCCTATCATATACAAATCAAAATAAAAATATAAGCCAGACTTCAAAATGAAAGCAAAAAATGTGGCAGGGGAAAACCATTTTTGGTTATGAAGCGAACAGTAACTAAGCACTCCTTTACCATGGAACGAAGCATCAAAGCTAAGCCACGAGGAAATGAGCCGGTATTGTTTTCTCTGAGAGAGAACTCAATTGTATTCATCGATGCCTCCACAGCATCCGAATCAAAACCCTCATCTGCCAGCTTTTTTAATGTATTCATGATTAATTCTTCTACCTTTTGAATTTCATCTTCCGAGACACCCTTCAATCCAATACTAAACTGAGGCTGTAGGAGCTCATCTTCAACCCCACCACCGACTATAGCATCTCCTAGACCACTCTCCAGCAGGATTTTTCTCAAAGGAGAAGCAGGAGTTCCCATCATTAGATGATCCAGAAAACCCAAGGCCAGTTCAGTTTCCAAGTCTAGAGGGGTTTCAGAGAGCAGCCAATTAAGGCATATCATGTGCTTCTTTTTCAAGTCACTACCATCTGCAGCAGGGTATTTCTCAAGTATCCTGACTGGTTCTTTGAAAAGTTTCTGTGGTTCAACTCTTGATTCCTCAGGAGCTGAATTTGCTTCAAACTTGTTTAGATATTCTGTGTGGAAAGCATGAAATAAATGTGAGATACTGTTCTCAAATCATCTGCAGACTTCCTTAATGGAAGTATCAATGGCAAAAACGTAAAAAGAGCGGAATTTCATCCTCGGAACAAGTGCATAATTTTTTAATCTAAGCATTAAACATTCAGATTCAATTCAGATGAGGCCCATGTTTTCAAGAACAAATATGCACACGTGTAAGGAATATTATAATACCATCGAAATATTTAGAGCTTAATATATTGAGGAGAGTAATTCCAGGCAGATATCTTGGATTATTATGCATACAGCTTACATTGATTCTAATAGCTAAAAGACTACAATTAAAAGATGATAGAAGAATACCACTTAAGATGTGTAAACGCTCATTTGGGTCATCATCTCCATAAAACCATATCCTTGCATTGCTGGGATGATAATACTTACTATGAAACTCCTGCGGACAAAATGTATGAAGAACCAAATCACCCTTGAGGACAAGTAACAAAGAAAATGATATGTTCCTTGCATGGTATAAAAAGGCGGTAGTGATGCGCATGTAGTATGCCTCGAGACGGTATTTTTGAGGCTAAAAATATGAGGTTTATGCCTCTAAATCTGAGGTGCACGCCTCATGCCTCATTTAAAATTTGATTTTTCAATTGTCTGAAAAGAAATCAGAAAGGGCCCTTCTTAAAAAAGGAAAAAACCCATTTAAAAAGGCATTTTGGGCCCCAATAAAATACCTAAAAAACTAAACGGCAGCCAAAAATTAGATGATAAAAAAGGGAACAGATTCAACAGAAATTCAAAAGTCAGAATTCAAGAAGAGTATCGTTTTCTTCATCAGTTCAACATGTATGTTTTTCCACTTTTCTTTTTCTT